CCTCAGCATCCCCATCCCTGAGCATCCCCATCCCTGAGCATCCCCATCCCTGAGCATCCCCATCCCTGAGCATCCCCATCCCTGAGCATCCCCATCCCTGAGTATCCCCATTCCCCAGCATCCCCTCCCTGAACATCCCCATTCCTCAGCATCCCCATTCCTCAGCATCCCCATTCCTCAGCATCCCCATCCCTGAGCATCCCCATTCCTCAGCATCCCCATTCCTCAGCATCCCCATCCCTGAGAATCCCCCATCAGCCCTGAGCATGCTCCCTTCAGCCCTGGGCATCCACCTCCAACTGCTGTAGGTGCTTGTATAAGGAAAAATAAATAGTGGAAAGAATTCGACCCAGTTTTCTTACGGCAAAAGCTTTGGCTTCCAATTAACGTGTGTTCTAATTAACACTGGAAGAAACTGCTTCAAAAAGCAGCCACCTGAAATACACGGCTGTGAGAGCTCTGTCCCAGTTCCCCATGATTTTCAGATCCTTCTGGCCGTTGCTTTTGTGCCTCATAAACCTTGTGGACACACAGTGACTCATAATTCCCACCTGCCGGGCCTGGGGGATAATTGGGCTTTTCCCTGTGTGGCTGCAGGGGAAGCAGATCGGGTTTTACATCATATTTTAAAGTGGTTTTGTTCCTTCCAGAGGAGGGAAAGGAGCTCTTTGAAATGGTAGTTAATCCAGCTTGGGAGCTTCTGGAGCAGGAAAATAACACGAGTGAAACTGAGGATTGCTTTACTGGCTGCTAAGATTCCATCTCCAGTCACTCAACTGTTTGAAATAAATGATTACTTAGGATACTCACAGCTCAGACTGGTGTGTCACCAAAAAATAATGTATTCAGGGGAACATGGACCCTTTGGAAAAGCTGAACTGTTGGATATGGGAATTGTTATTGGGGAGGTACCCATTCCTGCAGAAGATTTGGATACGAAAGAGTGACAGAGTCCTTTGCTTTTGTTCCAGAGAATGAATTTAACTGAAATTTCTTGTTTGTGCCTTTTAATTCTCCCCATGTACAAAGATAGTTGGGGGTTCTTGAAATTTTCCTCCATCCCCCAAGAGTCTGTGTGTAGCAGTGTGGCTGGAAAGCGGGAATACATCCAAAGGGCAGGAATTCAGCCCAAATGCCACTTCCTGGGGATGGCAGTGGGAGCAGCAAGTGTAGAAGCAAAACTGAAGCTACTGTCAGAGCCACTTCAAACCTGTGACAAGGTGTTTAAGCTGGAATCTGTTCAGGCAGCTTTTGGGTGCAGATTCCCTCTGTCCAGGCAGGTTTTCCCAAGCTGCTTTCTGGTTTGCCTCCTGCCTTGGAGCTCACGGCAGGAACAAGTACCTTGGGATGAAATTCCCCTCACTCCACCTTGTTTCCATTGCAGTGGAAGATTGATGACAAGCCAGTAAAAATTGACAAATGGGATGGTTCAGCTGTGAAAAATTCCTTGGACGACTCTGCCAAAAAGGTAGGTTCTCTCTGCTGAGTTGTCCGTCTTGGGAAACTCCCCGATTTTCTTTCCTGCCCATATCCATGCCAGGTCTGTGGCATCTCTCGTGATTCCCACATGTTTGTGCCCAATCAATTACCAGGATGCCTGATGCAAACATGAATTCCCCGTAAACTTTTTGCTCAGTTCACCTGTACCACTGGGATTGTTCCCTTCAAACCCTTCCCAGAAACAGTGTGTCACATTCCTGAAGAGCTCAGGATAGACTCTGCCTGTTTCTCCCACAGGTGCTCCTGGAAAAGTACAAATATGTGGAAAATTTCCATTTGATTGATGGCCGCCTCATCATCTGCACAATCTCTTGTCTCTTTGCCATTGTGGCTTTGATTTGGGATTACCTGCACCCTTTCCCTGAATCCAAACCGGTTCTTGCCTTTTGTGTTGTCTCATATCCTTTACAGATCTTGTCTTGGTTATACCTAAAGGGTTCACAGGAACAAAACCCTTTTGGATATTCCCATTTTCAGGCCTGTGGGAATTACACTTCCTGTCATGTGGAGATCAGCTGACAGTCAGACAGTTTTCATGTGATAGGAGAACGCCTGCCTGTCTGGGTGTAATGACCCTAAATTTGGGTGATCTGAGGCAGATCCTCTTTTTTTATTCTATCCACAGTCTGGTTACAGACGCGTTTGCTTTTCCCTAATACCACGGGTCAGATACTGAGAGGGGAAAGAGGAAATTCTTGCCAGCAGCTCTCTGCAAGGGATCTCACTCCGTGAGGTTCAGCAATGCGAAGGATTAGTGGTGGCCTTGGCTGGAGGAATGGTGGCCTGGGGAAGTGGTTGGACTTAATGGTCTCAGAGAAGTTTTCCAACCAAAACAATTCTGGGATCCTAAGGAATTTTGTTGTTCCCAGCTGTTCTGGGTGGCTTTCAGAACAAATGAGTGATTTGTCTTGCAGCACTTGAAACTACTTAATTCCAAAAGTGGGAAAGTGGAATTGCTTGGTCTGTCCTTAGGAGGAATGCCCAGAAATTCTTTCTGTGTCTTGTTCAGTCTCAAGTTTTCCCACTATCTCCCAGCAAATGTCAGGGAATCCCAGACTGGTTTGGGTGGGAAGGGGCCTTAGAGCTCATCCAGTCCCACCCCCTGCCACAGGCGGGGACACTTCCACTAGACCAGGTCATTCCAAGCCCCATCCAGCCTGGCCTTGGACACTTCCAGGGAGTGAATAATAAATGAGTAAAGTTGAAATTTATTACATAATTTCTCATGCTAATGAAGCATCAGCCAAACATCCTGTTTGGAATTAAAATTTCATGAGCAGTGGTTAAACAACAGTGTCTGAGGCGATCCATGCCACTTCTCTGCCTAATTCCTCCTTCTCCTTGCACCTTCTGAATTTCCTTAACTTTCTCTGCACCTATTTTGTGATGATGGGAATTCTGACCATTTATACCTCATACAAAGAGAAGAGTATTTTCCTGGTGGCTCACAGGAAGGACCCGGCAGGGATGGATCCCGACGACGTCTGGCAGCTCTCCTCCAGCCTCAAACGGTACCGTTTGCTCTGGCAGCCTGGGCTTAGCCAGCAGGCACCACTGCCATCCCTCCCTCGCCAGAGATCACTCCAAATCCATTCAGCTCCATCAAAATCCATGTCCTGGTCTAGGAACAGGAGCTGCTCCAAGTGGTTTTCTGCCACCAATGTTCATGTTCCACTTCTGTCTAATGCGGGGTATAAAAGGCTCTGATGGTGTTAATTGTGAGTGCCCAGGTGGGGAGCTCCAGTCCAGGAGGGGGGTTTCTGTCCCGAGTGAGATCCCGCTCTGAGGTCTGTCTGCCCTCCCACAGGTTCGATGACAAGTACACCCTGAAGCTGACATTCATCAGCGGGAAAACAAAACAGCAGAGGGAAGCCGAGTTCACCAAATCCATCGCCAAGTTCTTCGATAACAACGGGACGTTAGTCATGGAGGCCTACGAGCCCGAGGTGTCCAAGCTGCACGACAGTCTGGCCCTGGAGAGGAAAACAAAATGATTTGGGAGTCCACCCACCTTCTGGGAACCCGCTAAATTAACACCAATAAAGTCAAATGGCAAAGAACGTGAATCATGGCCTCTGTTTTTGTCCTGAAGTCCTATTGCATTTTGGATAAGCAGGAATTTTAATCTTGGACCCAAGTTTTGTTGAAACTTATGGCTAAGCTTGGTCTGTGTGCCTGCCTTCCAGCCTCTGAGATGGATCCCAGAGTTGGATTTTGGGGACCCTCAGGAGGAGAAACGCACCACCGATGCTGCCCCAGCGTCCTCTGCTTTACCTGGCAGTGCTTTCTCACATGGCTCTGTGTCCAGGGGGTTTTACCAATCCCTCCTTTCCATTTTCTGTTAGGAGTTCAGGACAAAACCCTTCTGTGAAGCAAACCATCCCCTCGCAAACAAGTTTGTTTTATTTTTGTATTTATCTAATTGGGGGTAGAGGACTGTTTTATATAAAAATCTTTCATGTGTTGTGGGGGGAGAACCAAATATGCTACTTCTGTGTGCTCAGCCACAAAGCTTCTGTGAAAGTGTAAAAGATTTTCCAAGCTGTGTCTCTCTGTCCTGTGGTTCCCTTGTGGCACCTCCTGTTCCATGCGTCCCTTCTATAAACTGGCATTTTTTAAAAGAGAGGTTTTTTTTTGTTTGCTTGTTTGTTTGTTTTTCAATAAAAGGGAAGAACAGACATCAAACGTGTCTTGGGGCATCTCTGGGTTGTTTCACGCCTAGGGAGGGAATCCCAGTCCACAAAATCCTCAAGGCTGGAAGAGTCCTGGCATTCCTGTACCACAATCTTGTCACCTAAACCTCATCCCCAGGTGCCACAGGATGAAGATGGCTCTTCTTTTCATCTTGTTTGGGCTTGGCTGCCTCACCTCAGGGTGATGGGGGTTCACCTTCACGATATTCCAGCCCTCCCTCTCCACACCTGTTCCACAGGAGCACCTGGGAAGGCACGGGAGGCCGGGGGGGGATTCTCCTGGCATCCCAAGCAGGCTCCTGCCTCCGTCCCTCTCTTGGCTCCCCTCCTGCCCGTTGGGGAGAGGGTCGGGACCCCTCGGCAGCGGTTCCGCCGGTCAATCTCCTCTTGATATTCCACCATTCCACCTTCCCCCGTAGGAGCGCCGGAAGAGGAGCACATCACCTGCCCACACAGGTATTGTCCCTGCTGCCCTCCGGCAGCGGCGCCGGGCTCTGTTATCCCGACGGCCGGTTCCACGCCCGCTTCCTCGGCCCGAGCTCCTGTATCCGGCCCCCCCGGCTCCGGGAGCTGCAGGAAGAGGCGGAGCGGGGCGGCCCCGGCGCGGCGGCGGCGGGAGGAGGATCGGGGTCTGCGGGGATGGGGGGGATGCGGGGATGGAGGAGTGCGGAGGATGGAGGAGTGCGGGATGGGGGCTCAGTGCTTGCGGGGTGCAGGGGGTTCACCCGGGGCTTGGTGCATGCGGGGTGTCGGGGGTGCGCGGGGAGAACCTGGGTGCTGCAGGAGGATGGGGGGCGAACGGGGGTCAGGACACGTGAAGGGGGATGCACGGAGGGGGTGTCTGTCACTGCGGGGGTCACTGCGTGCGGGGGTGCTGTGAGCGACCGCAGGGACGTGGCGGGTGCAGGCTGGGATCCGGGTGGAAGGGGTGCGTGGGGGACTGGGGGGGCACAGGGAATGACGAGGTGCCCGGGCAGTGGGAGTTTGGGGGTCCCGGTGCGGTGCAGGAGAAGTGCACAGCCCTCGGGAACAGCCTGGACATGGCACCGTGGGTGAAGCAGGGGACTCTCTGCAGACCAGGGGGGCAGCACAGACAGGCGGGTGTGACCCCGCCGAGGAGCTCGGCTCTCACCCCACTCTCCATCCCTGCTCAGGTCTCAGGGGGAACCTCAGGGCTGCCACCATGTCCGAGGCCACCACCTGCCTCAAGGTGAGCCTTCATCCCTATCCCCCCCGTACAGGCCACCCCCTCCTTTTGCCGGGATTTAACCCTTTACGTCTGACTTCCTCACCCTTCCTGCAGCAGGGGGATGGCGGGGAGAGTCCCCCACCACCACCAGGATCCCCGCACGTTTTCCCTCCGGAGACGCTGTTCCGACAGGCAGGTGGGGTCACCTACCGCATCCCGGCTCTGCTCTACGTCCCCCCGGATGATTCCTTCCTGGCCTTCGCCGAGAAACGCTCCTCGGCCCGGGACGAGGATGCCAAGTACCTGGTGCTGCGGCGGGGTCGCCGGCACGGCTCCTCGGTGAAGGTAAATTCCCCCCGGGCCGTAGGAGCAAGAGATGGGCGCGATGCCGGGTGGCTCCGGGATGCGGCGACCCCGCGGCCGAGCCCCATGTTCCTGCTTGCCGGCAGTGGGGTCCCACGGAGGAGCTGTCGGCGTTGGCGCTGCCCGGCCACCGCACCATGAACCCCTGTCCTCTCTACGACGCCAGGAGCGGCACCGTCTTCCTCTTCTGCATCTGCGTGGAGCAGGGAAAGACGGAGCGACGCCAGATCTGGAGCGGGTGCAGCGCCGCTCGTCTCTGCTTCGCCACCAGCGCCGACGGCGGCCGCGGCTGGGCCGCGCTGCGGGACGTGACGGACGAAGCCATCGGCTCCGACCTGGCCCGGTGGGCCACCTTCGCCGTGGGGCCGGGCCACGGCGTGCAGCTGGGCTCGGGGCGGCTGGTGGTGCCGGCCTACACCTACTACGTTCACGGGTGTCTGTGCGGGGCCCTGCGGCTGCCGTGCTTCACCCGCCAGCATTCCCTCGTCTTCTACAGCGACGATGGCGGGCGCCGCTGGCACAAGGGTGCCCTGCTGGGCGGGGAGCGGACGGGCGAGTGCCAGGTAGCCGAAATCCGCGGTGCTCAGCGCCCGCTGCTCTACTGCAGCTCCCGGGCCCCGCGGGGCTGCCGGGCCGTGGCGCTCAGCTCCGACCGCGGGCAGCGTTTCCAGCGGCCGAAGCTGTGCCAGGCGCTGCGGGAGCCGCCGCGGGGCTGCCAGGGCAGCGTGGTCAGCTTCCCCTCGCAGGCTCCCAGCTGCTTGCTGTACTCGCACCCCACCGACCGGCGCTGCCGCCGAGATTTGGGTCTCTATGTGAACCCCTCGCCGCTGGACGGGGAGGGCTGGCGGCGCCCCTGGGTGCTGCACTCCGGGCCCGCCGGCTACTCCGACCTGGCCGTCTGCCCCGACGGCGTTTTTGGGTGCTTGTTCGAGTGCGGCACCAGCAGCGCCTGCGAGGAAATCGCCTTCTGCCTCTTCACCCTGGACCCCTCTGGCGATCAGAACCTCAAGGCTTCCTAAAACAAGCCCGTTTTAGGCGGTGCGGTCGCTCCCGAGCGTCGGTGGCCGGATCCCGTGAGCACGGCAGCGCCGAGACCGCACCAGGGTATTTCAAGCGCACCAGAGGCTCAGCATCATGTAGCTTTTATTTAATTATGTCGTTTTAATCACCCGTCAGATGTTGTCGGTGACCTGCGGCAGTGGAGGATCTGCTCTGGCTTGGCCAAGGGGGATGCCAGCACAGCATACGAAATGCCACTGTTTCTCCAAAAATCAGTATTTTCCACCTGGTAGCAGCTGAAAAGCAGAAGGTGCCGGCAAGAGCAGCTGATTCCCTGAGGAAAAAGTACCCCAAAATCTCGGTTTAGTTAAAAATATTCCAGTTCCTGCATTCCTGCAGGTGGCATTAAATTCCCAGTTTTTACCATTTTTTATCCTGTTTTCTTCACTTTCCTGCTTTAGACTGAGTTTCTCCCTCCCTCCTGGGAAAAAGCACAAGAATCTTGGGGGGTTGGGGTGGGGGAAGTGTTGGGGGGTGTTTCATTCTGCTCCGCAGGGAACAGGTTGTAGCGTCCCGACAGTGACAGTGACCTCACATCCCCGTGCTGCTGTCAAATAAAATTCTCCCAAAACACGTGAAATCCAGTTAATACAGGGAAAATCCCGACGGAGTTGACCCTGCCCCAGAAAGATGCAGGACGGCCCCAAGCACGGCACCTCCCACTCGATCCTGGCGCTGTGTTTTGAGTATGGAGGGGCGGGATAGGGACAGACGGGACGAGAGCAAGGCGGGGTAGGAACAGGCAGGATGGGCAGAAAATCAGATCGAGACAGGCACAGGCAGGATGTGGACAGGGACGGGCAGGATGGGGCCAGACAAGAGGACGGAGCGGGCAGGCAGGATGAAGCTGAGGACAGAGCAGGATGAGGACAGGACAGAACAGGGAAAGGGGCAGGGACAGGCAGGATGAGGCTGGGGCAGGACCGGGAGGGACAAAGAGGGGGACAATCAGGATGGGGACAGAGGGGCGGATTGGAATGGGGATAGGGACAAGCAGGATGGGGACCAGCACCACACCGCCCTCCCCAGCCAGCGTGGCGGATCCGAGGCACCCCCCACCCCTTTTTCCCCCAAAGGCGGGGCCTCTCCGCCCCTTTTCCCCCGGTTTCTCCGTCGGATGCGGGCGCTGCCGCTGGGGCACGGCTGACACTGGGAGCGCTGTGGGCACTGGTGGTGCTTGGGCTGCTGGGGGCTCGGGGGGTGCTGCTGGGACTAGAGGTACAGGGGGGACCGGCGGTACTGGGGGCACGTGGGGACACTGTGAGTACTGGGGTCACTGCTGAGGGTAGGGGCGCTGGAGGTACCGGAGATACCGGGAGCACTGGCGGTGCTGGGACTGGAGACACTGTGGGAACTTTGAGCACTGCGAGCTCTCGCCGTGCGGGGGGCTCTGGGCGCTGGAGGTACTGGGGGTTCTCGGAGCACTGGGGGCGCTGGCAGCACTGGGAGCGCTGGGGGTGCTGGGGGCGCTGCTGGCGCTGCTGCTGCCGCCCCCCGCCCCGGCCGAGACGTTCTCTGCCATGTTGAGCGTGCGGGGAGCGCTGGGCGCCGAGCGCCGCCTGCTCCGCCGGCTCCGCTCCTACCTGCGGGACGAGAGCTCCCGCCTGCGCCGCCTCCGCAGGTACCGGCACCCCCAAACCGCGCCCCGGCCAAGGGTGGGACACCCGCAGCATCCGCTCCCCTCCGACCAGCCCCAGGCGTGGGTGATTCCCTGGCTACCGGCAGGGGTTAACCCATCCCCACCTTACCCGCAGCGCCCAATTGTTGGGGGTGGCCCTAAATAAGAGGGCGGTGGGAGGATGGGAAGCCGAGCCCCGATGTGGCTCACGCCCCCCCCTTCCCCCAGCCGTGCCCCAGGAGGGGGACGTGGTACCCCCATCCACGGGGGCTGTGGCACCCCCAAGGCCAAAGAGTGTACGCTGAGGCAAAGCTGCCCAGCAATGGGGGGGATTGAGTCCTCACCCGGGTGGTGCCAACACTGAGGAGCATTGCAGTGTCCTCCAGTGGGCTCCTTGTAGGTTCTATGAGAAGATCCAGGCACTGCACCAGGACCCCGAGGCCTCGGTGGACAACCCCTTGTTGGCCTTCAGCCTCATCAAGCGCCTGCACTCTGACTGGCCCAACGTCATCTACAGCGACGAGGCCACCAGGAACACCCAGGGTACGGGGAAGATGCTCGGCCTTGTGTCCCCTCTGTCACCTAGGTAGAGCCAGGAGGTGGTGCGGAGAGGATGGAGGAGCAGGAGAATAGATGGAAGAGCGAAACATACGGAAGAACAAGAGAACAGATGGAGTGGAAGGGTCAGTGGGTAGAGGAGCAGGAGAATGGATGGAGGAGCCAGGAAATAAATGGAGGGGCTGGGGAAAGGGTGGAGAAGCAAGAAAATTGCTGGAGGAGCAGAATGGATGGAGAAGCAGGATGTGGCATCCCCAGGGAAAAGAGCTGATAAGGGCGATTGCACCTCCTAATTCCGTTTATCCCTGCCTCCCCACCTCTTTCCCACCCTGCAGCACTCCATGCTGGCCTCAGGGAAGTGGAGCAGGAGCTGCCTGGAACTGAGGACCTGGACGGGGCAGCCAGGGCGCTGATGCGGCTGCAGGATGTCTACGCACTCAGTGTCAAGGGCTTGGCCAACGGCGTCTTCCAGAGAGCCGGGCACCCACCCCTCTACAGCCCCAGCCGGCATGTCTCCCTCTCTGCTGACGACTGCTTCCATGTAGGAAAGGTGAGGGAGAGCCCCACAAGCCTCCACAAAGCTTCTCCAGCCTGGCATGTTGCTTCCATAGGGATAGACATTGGGGTTTCTTTACATGGGATGAGATGGAAGTGCAGGTGCAAATGGGGATGGAGATTGAGATGGAACAGGAAAGGAAGGGTGGGACAGGATAAGGATGATGTGGGAGGGAATGGGGATGGAGATGGAATAGGAAACTGACAGATGCAATGGTACAGGATGGGTGGGAATTGCAATGGGATGGGATGACATGGCATGACAGGGTGGGGTGGGATGGGATGGGATGGGGTGGGGTGGGGTGGGATGGGGTGGGGTGGGATGGGGTGGGATGGGATGGGATGGGATGGGATGGGATGGGGTGGGATGGGGTGGGGTGGGATGGGGTGGGATGCAGGCCAGGCTGGCCCAGCTGGCAGGTGCAGGTGATGCATTGCCTTGCAGGTGGCCTATGACGCAGGTGACTATTACCACTCCATTGCGTGGCTGGAGGAGGCTGTCAGCCTCTTCCGCCTCTCCTATGGCAGCTGGAACCTGGAGGACCGGAGCAGTCTGGAGGATGCTCTGGACCATTTGGCCTTCTCCTACTTTATGGTACAGCCATGAGTCCCCTCCCCATCCCAGTGTCCAGTAGAGCCAAATCATGGGTGGGAGGATGGATGCTCACGGGGTCTCCACTCCCTCTTCCAGGCTGGAAACATCTCTCATGCCTTGAGCCTCTCCAGGGAGTTTCTCCGCTACGGTATGTGGGAAAAGGGAAAAGATTTTGGGATGTCCCCATCACCACTGCTTGGCAACAGCCTCCCTCACCCCATTTCTTGCCCCCAGCTGGGGTAATTCTCCCGGGACCAATGCCAGGGAAGGGGGTTGATGGGGATGCAGCATTCTGGGTGACACCACCTCCCCAGCAGATCCCAGTAACCAAAGGGTATCGAGGAACGTGGCCAAGTACAAGAAGCTGCTGGAGATGGGGACTGGGGCAAGTGCCAGCCCCCTGCAACGCCCCAACAGCACCCGCCTGCAGAGCCGTGATGCCTACGAGGAGCTGTGCCAGCGCCCCAGGGGGCAGGTGGGACTGGCAGGGGGTGCCATGGTCCCCCCCCCACCGCTGTCCCCCCCTCATGCTTTCCTTGGTCCCTTTTTCCCCCAGCCAGCCTCAGAGCCACTCCTGTACCTCAGCTGCTCCTACGAGACCAACAGCAGCCCCCACCTCCTCCTCCAGCCTGCCAAGAAGGAGATGGTCCGGATCCAACCCTATGTGGCTCTGTACCATGACTTCATCACGGATGCTGAGGCTGAGACTATCAAGGGGTTGGCAGGGCCCTGGGTGAGCCATCTTTGTCTCCAGGGATGTCCCTTTCCTGCAGCAGGGTGTCCCAGGAGACCGAAGGTGAATGCAGGGATAGGAGGGGTTTTGAAGGCCAAAGCCTCCTCAAGGGAGTTCAGATGGGATAGGGCTTGGAGCAACCTGTTCTAGTGGAACCTGTGTCAGGGGGGTGTAACAGGATGATCTTGGAAGGCCCCTTCCAGCCCAAACCACTCTAAGATTAGATGAGACCCTGGGGATGATGACCCCAGTTCCATCTGAGTCCCCCAAAAGATTTTTTGGAAGAAACCAGGTCCACGGATGCACCTAAACTGCTTCCCAGCCAGGCTTGACTTGGTGCCACCCTACTGCCTTGGCTCCGCCTGCTGTCATTGCTTCCCTCACCCCAGTGAGACACCTTGGGGTGGGATGCTTGGCAACCAGCTGGTACAAACCCACCAGCTTTGACCCTGACCACAGCCCCTGCTTGGGGTGAGGGTCCCTCCATGTGCGACAAACATGCATCTCCCATGTGTCCTTCAGCTGCAGAGATCTGTGGTTGCCTCTGGGGAGAAGCAGCAGAAGGCCGAGTACCGGATAAGCAAGAGGTAGTAGCCACCTCTCTTCCCTTGTCCTCCAGCCAGCAGGACCACTGTGGCTCCATGGCCACCTCTGAGGTGGCAGTGAAGCCATGCTGGGAGGCCTGGCTCCTCCAGCAGCGCCCTGAGGGTAAAGCCCAGCCACAGACAAATTTGGGGGCTGGTCCCACAGCGCCTGGCTGAAGGACACGGCCGACCCAGTGGTGAGGGCGTTGGACAGGCGCATCGCCGCCGTCACCGGCCTGGACCTGCGGCCACCCTACGCAGAGTATCTGCAAGTGGTCAACTATGGCTTGGGAGGCCACTATGAGCCACACTTCGACCATGCCACGGTCAGGGAGCTGCCAGAGTGGGCCGTGGGGGGACCATGGGGTGATGCCCAGGGTGGTTCTTGTGGTGATCCTGGGATGGACTCTGGGATGCTCCTGGGGTGGACTCAGGAGCACCCCAGGGATGTTCCTGGGGATGGGCCCTGGGATGGCCTTTGGGGTGATTCCTCAGATGTTCCTGAAGGAGAGCTCTTGGGTAATCCCTCAGATATTCCTGGGGATGGGCCCTGGGATGCTCCTCGTGATGCTGCTGGGATGGTGCCCAAGGGAAGACCCGGAATGGTCCCTGGGGGTGTCCCCATGGTGATCCCTAGCTTATTCCCTGAGATGTTCCGAGTGATGGACCCTGGGATGGCCCCTGGCAGGGGTAGGATGGATGGTCCCAGGATGGTGATCCCTGGGTGGGTGCCTGGGGTATTCCTGGGAAGGGAGGGAATGAGGGAAAAAAAAGAAGGGAGAGGGAGGGATTTTCTTGGGGGAGGAACAGTGTGAGGCAGCTTAGAGCTGCTGGGACATGAGGTGCCTGTGGGCTGAGCCGTGTCAGTGCAGGACTGACCATCCCCATGGGACTGACTATTCCCACCTGCCCTTTTGGAGCAGTCCACGAAGAGCCCCCTGTACAGAATGAAGTCGGGCAACAGGATCGCCACAATCATGATCTACGTGAGTTCTCCCTCATTTCTGGAGAGATGGCGCTGGTGTGGCCCTCAGGGTATGGGATGGGGAGGACAGCCCTAAAACTGCAGTGGGTGGGAAGTATCCTGGGGAGTATTCAGAAGCTTGTGCTGTGCCAAAGTGAGGGGAACAGAGCTGGAGCCCAAAGGAGGTTTTGTGCCTCAGTTTCCTTGTGCAAAGGAGCATCACAGGGAAGGGGCAAGCCATGGCTCCTATTTGTGCTCTTTTCCAGCTGAGTGCAGTGGAGGCAGGAGGCTCCACTGCTTTCATCTACGCCAACTTCAGCGTGCCCGTGGAAAAGGTGAGGGGTCATGGAATCCCTGGGATCAGGGGAGGGAGGACGCTGCTCTCTGTATCCCTCTGTATCCTCTGTAACGCCTGATCTGTTTTGGGGTGCCAAAATTCAGTCTTGGGGATCCCAGCTCTGTTTAGGGTACCAAACCTGTCTCTGCTCCGCAGAATGCGGCTCTTTTCTGGTGGAACCTGCGGAGGAATGGGAATGGTGACGGGGATACCCTCCATGCCGGCTGCCCCGTCCTAGCTGGGGACAAGTGGGGTGAGAGACACTACCAGTTGTCACCCCGGGGTGACACAGGGCTGGTTGGAGGGACAGCTCCACCGGCAGGGAGACAAGAGGGGCTGGGAATGAACAAATATCCTGGATAACAGGGAAGAAGTTCCCCGATAGCAGCGCAGGATTAGAGAAGGGTGCAGAGGGATGGGAACAGACAGGGGTCCATGTCCTTGTCTGTTCCAGTGGCGAATAAGTGGATCCATGAACACGGGCAGGAGTTTCGGCGCCCGTGCAGTGCTGACCCACAGGACTGAGCCACCGTGGGATGTGACATCCGTAGGTGGCAAAGCCGCTCTGGCACAGCATCTCCTCAAGGGCGGAGCAAGGCGGGGAGGAAGGGAGGGAAGGGGATGGCAGTGGAGCAGGGGATGATTGGGAGGGACACTTGCTCAACCACGGCTGGCACAGCCGGGATCTGCACAGGGAGGTGGGGCAGAGCTGTGGGCACAGCCCCAGCGGAGTCAGGGTCGGGCTGGAGGATACCAGTGCACAGCAGCTCCCCAGCTCCATCCAGCCTCATTGTTCTGGGGGGTTTCTGTTCCCCGGTCATTGCTCTGTGCCCGGTGGTGGCCGCTGCAGCTCCAATGTCGCGTCATGTACAAGTGGTAACACAATGCTACCTTCCCAAAAGTGCCTCCAGGGAAGACAGCACCTGGGCAGGCTGCAATCATACACACACACACAGGCACACAGACACACACACACACACACACACACTCACACCATGGATAGCAGTCGCTGACTGAAAGGCAGGAAGGGTCTCTGTATGGAGTTTCAGTGGGGCTTATTCCAACCCCATATCAAAGGCGTCCAGGAACAGAGACAGAAAGTAGTAGAGGTTCCAGGAATATACGGGGGGCTTGAGGGGGAGGATCCGAGGGTCAGGGTCCAATGGGAATAGGGGAAAATGGTGCAGAGGCAGGGTCAGGGAGAGAGAAATCCAATGGGATTACAGGGGCAGAGGATTGCACCAAACTGGGGCCAACTGGGGAACAGGGAAGGGAGAACTTTCCAGGGAAGGGACATACAAGCTAAAAAGGGGAGGGACAGCTAACAGGCTAACTGGGTATATAAACTGGGGTACAACAAAATGGAGGTGCAAAGCACTATGGGAAAAGCCCTTCATATTAACTCCAAAATGGGGGAAAACCTTATACCCTGGAGGCCTCTCTCCACACCATGACAGCTTTTGGCTCCGGAGCCTCCACAGCTCCAAGGTGAGTCGGGAACCTTGGGGGTCTCTGCAGCTTTTCCAAGGCCTCCCTGCCAGAGCTGCCGTGCGGGCTCTCAGATTGCTTGGGTTCTGTTAGCTAAGGCGACAGGGTTGGGGTTTTTTTGTTTCCCTTTTTTATGGAGAGTGTGGGGGCAATCCTTCGGATTTTTATTTTTTTATGTTGTTTTTTTTGGTTTTTTTTTGTTTTTTGTTTTTTGTTTTTTGGTTTGGTTTGGTTTTTTTTGTTTTTGTTTTTTTGGTTTTTTTTCCCTGACCCAGTTTGGTCCAAGAGCCCACAGGAGGACCAGCGTCCGGGAGCCGGCGGGACGGGGCCGTCCCGGCCCCACACCTCGGGACAGCCGAGCCAGCAAGGGAAAGGACACCAAATCCACCGGCTTCATCTGCTGTGCCGAGGGGACTCATGCCAGAGATCCACCAGGTTCTGTTTTGCCCGAGCTGCTGCGTGAACCCTTCGTTTTGTTTTTCCCCTTCCCCGAGACAGGGGCCGCTGCCGTTTTCCCCCTCCCCACCACCCTGCGGCCTTGGGTTTTGTTTCTCCTTTCCCTGGGATTTTGTTTTATGTTTTGGCGGTTTTTGAGTTGGTTTGTTTTCTTTTTAATCCATGGAGAAGGAGGAGGAGTGGTGTGAAGGTTGGGCAATCCAGTATCTAGCATTTATTAATTTTCTTTTTCCATGTGTGCACTCTGGCAATAAATGATTGGAGTTTTTTCACTTTCATCCACTACTGTTAACCTCCTGTTGGCAGAAAGGGATTGCTGGGACTCTTTCTTTAGAGGAAACACTCATTCCAGAGCGTTTTTCTCCTAAACTTGTCTCTAAAGCAAGATGCTCATCTAGGTGACATTTGGACGAGATTCCAATACTCCAGGATGGAAACCAAACTTCCCAAGGAGGCCACCAGATCAAAAATCAGGGAAGTGGGATAGAAACAGAAGGCAGAACTCTCCCAAGGCTCTCCTGCTTGCTCTGGCTTTAGAATTGTGCATTTATCACTCCTTGGCTGTGCTCATCCAGGCTTGGATTAACCCTTCTGTAGGCACACAGGGAGAGGGGTGAAGCTGCAAGGAGCATTTGGGCTGGACAGCAGGAGCTGGAGCACTGTGATGGGGCTCCAGCAGCCCTCTGGGGCTGTTAAACCTGCCCGAATGTAAAGAGGCCTGGAAGATTTCCAGTTTCTCCCAATTCTTGCTTTTCAGTCAGGAGCGACCACCACAAGACTCAGAGAAGGCTGAGCTGAGCACAGGTTACTCACTAGCCCCAGTGCTCCAGTTTATTACTTTCAGATGTTTCTGTACACATGGGAGTCATTAGACACGGAAAGGAGGGGGAAAAGTGAAAGCCATGGCTAAATCCCCGCTCCTTCCCACAGTGGGGTGCAGGGAAGGGATGGGGAAGCATTTTGGATGACAAGGGCCTTTCCTGAGTCACCAGAAGAGCCCAAGGGTTGGGTCTGGTGCAGGAACAGCTGGATCAACCCCCTTCCTCCACTGGCTGCTCCAAGAAGCCCAAGTATCACAGCTAAAGGGAAAGCAGGAATTCCTACTCCAGGCTTTTCACAAATGCTTTATTTGTAGCCGAGGGAAACAGACATGGAACAAGACAAGAGCAGGATGAGGCTGACACAGGACACAGCGTGTGGACTCCAGAGAACTGACACATGCACACACGCACACACACACAGACACATTTTCCTTCTGGAAACAGCAGCCAATGGCAGGAGGTCACCCCGCCATGCCACACTGGGAAAGCTCAGCCACAACTGGCCAAGCATCCGGCAGCAAAACTTGGAGCAAACACCCAGTCCCATTCCCGCCGTGTCGGATGCCGCATGGACACAGTGCTGAGGGGGCAGCATCATCAGATGGATGACACAGCCAAGGGATGCAGGTTTGGGCAACACAAAGGGCACTTCCAGGCTGTGAGCAGAGCACCAGGCTTGGAGACGGGTGGTAGAATGCACTAGGGCCAAGGGTTCGTGGAAGTGAAAAGCCGTTAACTCAAGTTTTGGACCTTGCCAAAAGATCCAGGTCTAGATTTCCAAGAGTGTTCATTACCAGTTCAAACCAGTGAATAGCTGTTGCTAGGCACCTCCACACAGCTCTTTTCCCAGGCCTTTCTGCTCCCAAAAGAAAAGGCAATAGTGGAGAAGAGGGAAAATGTCAGTGCTAAAGTCACAGAATAATTTGGGTAGGGACCAACCTTAAAGCCCATCCAGTCCCACCCTCTGCCATGGGCAGGGACCTTCCACTATCCCAGGTTCCTCCAAGCCCTGTCCAGCCTGGCCTTGGACACTTCCAGGGATCCAGGGGCAGCCACAGCTGCTCTGGGCACCCAGTGCCTAAATTGTAAAAAAACTTCTTCCTAATACCCAATTGACCCTCCTTGGGGGAATTTTCCAAGGTCTGTGTTGCCCAGCTCTGCCTTTTGCAGGTCATCCCAACACTGCTTGCAAAGCATAAACTCATGGAAAGAAAGGCTGGAATGGGCTTCTTCAAGTTGTCCAAGTTTTTCCTTTGCCAAAAGGGGAAAAATAACAACTGTAACTATTGCAGCATCACCTCTGCAGATGCCCTATCACAGTCTGAGGGGAAAATTCTGGCTGGACAACCCCAGGCCTGAGTTTAACTCCTTACTCAAGGGTGGATTTATTCAAAGCAAGAGTACTTGCTTTGACAATATAGGAAATAATCTTTTTCTAACAATCCCAATGCTCCAGTCATCTACAAGTTCCTGATGGCTTTGTCCAGTAAACTGGCAAAACACATCCTAGGTCTTAGATATTTATTTATTTAATTTATTCAATTAAAATGAAGCCTGCAGCAAACCAGCATCCCAAAGTACATCTCCTGCTCCTGCCAAACCTTGGGATCTTCCACTGGCAAAGCTGCCACTGATCCTCAATCCAACCAGTGAAACAAAACCAAGAGAGGTTTCTAAGTAATCCAGAAGCTGCAGGAAAAATGCAAAGCTGAGAGTTCTGGGGGAGAATTTTTGTGTCCCTGTTTCTTGTAAGCCAAAGAGAAGATTCCTTCTCTCTGCAAGTTACTTTTACCACAGCCTGTGTATCCTTCACCAAATTCCATTTATCCCAGCCTGCAGCCCACTGGAAACTGCAGCAGGAGCATTAATAGTTTGCAGACAAAAGTACAGTCTCAAAAAAATGTACATGGCTTGACAGAGCAGAAAGGAATTTCCCTTCCACCCACCCCCACAGTGCTGCTGCTGTCCCTGGAATCCATTTTTTAATCAGTACCACGAGTCCCTGAACAGCCACCTATCCAGGGCAGGGCAGGGCTGGGAGCGATGCACCATTCCATTAAATAGGCTCTTGAAATATTTATTTTCTTTTCACTCACTCAGTGTTAACAACAAAACAGAATCCCAGGGAGCCCGCAGGATTTCAGAAATCATTCCTTTTCCAGCAGTGCTTCTACAGAATACAAAACTCATTTGCTTTCCACAGAGGGTTCTGTTTGCTTGGGCTTTTTTACGAGCTCACAAATCAAAGGGATAACGCGAGGAATCACTCCAAGTCAGACTCTCCAAGTTACTTCACCACAGAGGAATGTGACTTCACCATCATTCAGGAGGATGATCCCGGGAAGTGAGACTCTGGATATACACGCTGGATTATTTAATCCCTGACAATCTGAACAAAGGAGTTGCCTGCAAAAGAGGATTTTGGCCATTCTGGGAACATGGCTGGGGAGAGAACTATTTTGCATCTCGACTACTGAAGATCCATTGAATCCATCCAGGATGGATGCTACATCAAATGAATGCATTAACACAATGACTCACAGAGGGAAGCGCAGAGAGCCAGCAATTGCTCTTGTAACACCTGAGTGCCTATGGCCAAAGTGCCAGGAGGGCATTCTTCTCTGGAATGAGGCTTTTGTCTCTAATCCAGGCGCTTCCCAACCTGGTATGTCAGGGAAGGGACACGGAGCAAGGCCACACGGCTGCTGTGCCCTGTGAATCCCAGCTAAATGGATCTCTACCAGGCCCAAGACCATGGTAAAACCCTTTGCCCCATCTGCACCTCTCAAATGCCAAGAATTCCTGATGGCTGTTGTCATGGGATGCACAGGGCAGCTCCCAAATCACCACAGAACTTTGCCTCAGCAGAGCAGGGTTAAAATCATCGGACAGCAGCAAGGGGTTATGGACACCAGGCAAAAAAAAGGGATTTCAGACATCCACCAGCAAAATATTGAGGAAAACTGCTCCAAAACATGTCTGCTTTTACACTCAAAAGTGACTCTTAGGTGAAAGCAATCCCAGGAACTGTCTGTGGATAACTGGACCCTAAAGAAAAGCTCTCTGTGCACATGGAATTCTGGAAGGCAGGCAGCGAAATGATCTAGGAAGCAACAGTGGAAAAAAGGTCCTTCCTCCAATACTGGGCAGAACAGCTGCCTACACCTCTGCATCATCAGCAGGACTGACTCCAAGCTCTCCCAGGGTTTTTTCTACAGCCCATTCCATGTTTTTCCATCCCAAAGACGCTGATCTCTGCTCAGCTGTGTGTGGCAGCTACAAGAAGGGAAGAACAAACACATTCCAGGGGCCAAAAACAGCCAAACTGCCTGTTGAGCACGTTGTCCCTGCTTTTGGGCCTTCTCCATAAACACAAGTTCAGAGTCCTCCGGCCTGGGATGTGTCTGTAGTAGATGGAGTAGATGGAGTTATCCAGGCTCTTCTTCCCAGAGATGACTTGAAACGAGCACTAGAAAAACTGCAAGACTCTGAAATGGAGCTCACGGTCCCCCCCTCACCTTTCTGGTTTACAATCCCATCCAACTTTGCCCAGGAGAGTGGCCTCCAGGCTTTTTCCACAGCTTAACCTCTAAGGCTGGCGCTGGTGAGATGAAACCTGAGCTCACAATGAAGCCAATTCCTCTTCTGCTTTAGGGGGAAAAAAAGTGTATATATAAAACCCAAACCTAAGGGGCACTTCCAAGATGATTCTATGATTCCACAGAGAAATCCTGAAGCCTTTGGCCGTGCTGCAATGCCCTCAGTGGATCTGGACTGCCAACAGCCCTTCTGCAGTTGGGTCCAAGAAAGCCTGAGAATTGATGGAGATTGGTATGATTGACTACATGGGATTCCAGGAGGTCTTTCCTTGTGGCAGCAGAGAAGAGGATCCCACTTCCAAGGGCCTGAAGAGCTTTTCATGGTCTTCAGTAGAAGCTGCTTCCCAGCAAGGGAAAGTCCCTAACAATTTACGTATTCTGGAGAACTAGTTCTAGGGGATGAATCTCACACCAACTTCTCACTGCTGCTGGACTGGGAGATGAGAGG